GATAGATGGTCGTGAAATAAGACGTCACTTTGATCATGTGCGTTTGAGGTATTCAGAAAATACTAATGTTGATACTCATCATGAGGTTACTATGGAAGCAAGTACTGCTCAGGGTAGTTCTGAAGGTATTTTGATTCCAAGAGAATTTACAGATATTCCATCTGCTATGCCTTCTGCACTAGATTCAAAAATGTCAAAAAGGTCTGATGAGAATGATGTAAATTCTGGCACCTGTAACACATCTGATCAAAAGTGTTATAGAGATAATGTTTTACCCAGTGTTGATCTGGACGAATCTGTAAGTTCTAACATAGGACAAAGTCCAGTGAAAAGTAAAACGCCTGTTAAAAATAAAAGTGCTAATGTAAACGTTAGAAGGTCTACTAGAGCCAGATATTCACCTAAGAGACTTATAACAGAATGTTAATTATACATTCTATAGGTATTGATGTTTTGAAAAGCTATCTTGGAGCAACTAAGTAGTGAATTCACAAATTGTTATGTCACATATATGATTTATTATTGTACAACCACGTGTAAAAGTGAACTTTTGAGTATTACATTCCAACTTAAGGTTGAGTCCCACTTATGTTTTTTTCTAGTATGGAGCCATATGTGGTTACCTAGTAATACTTAGCTAGGGAGAGAGAATGTAATGTATTTGGTGTTTCTATAGATGTCATCAGTGCATATATGTCTATTCACCTATTCACTTGTATTGTATCCCGGGATCGGGACTGACTGTTTGCTTTTTCGTCCATTGTAAACGTGGTTCTTGAGTTCAGCCATCTTACCAGTATGGAATAAATTTGTCTCCGTCTAGACACTGTTTTTGTACATTTATTCGTCCACATACATATCACTTCTACAATTTATTTTTATTGTAATTATAAAAAAAAGTAAAAGTGGTCCGCGGGTCAGCAAATTTTGACTGATGTTAATCTGAACATTTCCTGCCAAACATATTCATCTTGCCTAGATGGTTGCTTCAAACTACTCGTACTAGAGGCAGAACAGTACTCTTGAAATCATTTATTCAGAAGTATGCTCAATTGCTGAGAGGATCATTTCATTTATAATTGTTTCCTTTAGTCATCACGCAAATGCGTTGTTGACAAACCTAGTCCATAAAGACGTGTTCCAAACCTCCCTTTGGCATCCCTTGAAGATTTTCTCAATCTATTGAAATCAGTCCCCTATCGGAATCAAACATATGACCTCTCATATGATACTTTAGCACCCCAAATGTAGTGAAGCCCAATGGTGCTTTATCTAGGGAATATTTTATGGTGAATATGGGGCAGTAACAACTTTTGTGAACCCCAATTCTTCAAGAGTAGTATGGGCAGTTTGAGGAGTGGGAAGAAGCATAGCCATAGAGGATAACTCCCTGCTATTTTGAGTCATGATTTTGACTTTGAGAGTCTGACGAATGATAAGAAAATAGAGCAAAGTGCACTCGTATATCATAATACAGAAGTTACTTTAGAAACTAAAGTTAGAAGTATTTGAAAATATAAAAATCACAGAAATATCACAATAATATGTCCACCAAATAGGTATTAATTAACCATACTTTTGGATCAAGAAAAAATTTCAATTCATTTTTATTTTACTTGACCCGCTACGCCATTTGTCATGTTGCTATAGTAACAATAATTATCCATTGTGATATCAGATGACAATGAGACTGTTTTATCCAACCCAAAATCACAATCCCCATTTACCTTGAAAATTTCAAGTAAATAGGTTAAAAAATAATAGAATAACAGATAAATTCCCAGAACTTAGTGATCACCCTATAGATGTTAGAATTTCGATTTACTTTCGAAGAGCTGTACTTTTGCACTTTTGTTGCAATAATAAATTGATTAAGGATGTTTATAAAGCATGCTGATTTCCAAGATAGTTCTTTATAATAGTTTTATCGGATTTTAGCGTGTATTGTGATAATCACGGCATGTTTGTATAGATTATGAGCAACAATGTCGCATGTCGACGTTAGTGTATTATATAAGGAAGTGCGTTTCATTAACTTCATAGTTTCACTTTTTGCAAAAGAACTTTGTAATTTCCACAGTGAGGTATATTATCCATATAGGTTTTGGATATTGCCAGAAAGCAGTTTAGAGTTGCACAGTCTTTATGCAACAATGCTTAACGTGTAAATTGACAATAAGGTCACATTTTGAAATTTGGTTTATTCCAAATTGAATATTGTAAATCAGCAACGAGGTTAGGAGTCGAGGACGGATGTTGGGTATATCTAAACCTTGGAGGTTTTTGGCATTATGGCCATCGGCATTGTGGCCGCTATAACATTAGCATCGTGGCCGTTATAGATACCCGGAGGCATCGCGGACTGGCTACATTTACCTTTTTCATTTTTTCCCATACTTTGTATCAGATGTATTTATGCTATTCCAATAAACGCGGGCTGCTGGCTCGAAGTTAATCTAATAATATATGTGATATTATGTTGTGTGGTTTGTGGTGTAGACTGTTTAATTAAGAAATAAGGCGCATTCACATAAATTCACAAAATGTTAGTTCTATTTTCACCCTTTGTCCCACATGTTTGATACATAAATATAATGCGTTTCAAGACATGATTAACATCTTAAAAAGAAAACTATATTTTGTAGAAACTCATTTTTCGAACATCTTATAAGTTTACAGCGGGTATAAAGACTGCCGAGACGTATTCAGTGATCTTGGGCCTATCGTAAAATGAAAGCTTTGAATATGTTACAGACTTTAAAAATGTATCTATTTTCCATGTATGCAACTAGAATTTGTGCACATACCTTATATCGATCGATAATGGCAAAAGAAAATCCTCTAATTCTTTGTCATCTTCTTCTCCTTCGTCTCCGCCATTTTTTTTAAACCGGAAGTTTGTGCTCTAACATCCGCGCAGGTTTTTTTTTACTTTTATTTCAGATTACGCTTTGGATTCAACTTTTGATGCTTTCTAGTAATCGTCAAGAGATCTCTATAAGAAACATTTTCATAAAAAGACTCACACTATCAGACATTCTATCGATTCGAGCGGTGAGAAAAATTAGTTTCAGTTTCACCCGCTAGGTGTTTCGACGTCGACTTGGAAAGAATTTGAAAAATCTATGAGTGGGACTCCTTGTATAGAATTGTAGATTCTAAACGATTTGCCAATTCTACTGGTTGATGATTAATATTGCCATATGCATACATTTTTTATAAAATACAATGAATAAGGAAGAAGATGTTAGAGCAAACTTCGCCCCGATAGCTCAGAAAAGGTAAAATTTATCATTTTTTCTCTCCACAGTCCTTTTACCCGCTTTAATTCTTTATTGTCCATTTCGAATCGTATGCGTACAGTAAGAGAAAAAATGCAAATAATAAACACTCATATCAATCGTTCCTTAAAAACATGATTTTAATTCACTGCTTTATTCCAGCAATAATGGAATTAGAATTCGCTGATTGCATGACCAAATGTGTAGGTGAGAGTATCGATAACATTGAAAGATGGTTGAAAAAAGCCAAATCTGCAACTGAATGTGTAACGAAATGCGTAGTCGACACAATAAAGCAAACAGCACTTATGCGCGTAACGTCAGAATATATCAAATCAAATGACTTTGTCCAGTGCCTGAAAGATTGCGCCTTGCAAAAAGCGAATCCTCTGTGGATCGTTTGGGGGATCGTTTTGTGCAACATCCATTGGCAGTGCTGGCTTCTGAGAATAGGAATCATCGCAACGAAATGTCTCTTCGAATGTGTTCAAGGTAGACGTCAATCCTTATCAAATCAAAAATTGAAAACGTGGAGTGGATTGAAAAAACGGTTAATACTAGGAATCACTTAAGTCCTATTAAAAGATCAATAGGGGCTATTAAAGTACCACAGGGGTTTATTAGGGAATCATTCAGGGCTATTAAGGAACGAACTAGGGCTATTAAAGCAAAATCGGGGCATACTAGGAAATCAAGAAACCAACTGGGGCTATTAAAGCAACACCAAGGCTTAATAGGGAATCGTTAAAGGGGGTGGCTGAGTATTTAAGCCCAGATTCAGTTAGAAATGGAGTCATTAGTAAACCATCAAATTTGAAAATAACTGAAACAGCTTGCTCTGACAATAAATTAGCCTTTTCCTATAGAAATAATGATCAGATTGTAACATAATTTGTCTCATTTGTGTATGAATATACAATCTTCAAATAAATGTATTTATTTCAATCAGAGTTATCTTGAAAACACATTAAATCTTCATTTTTTAAACTGCTAATGGGAGGAGTTAACAACTCAAAGTACAGCCAATCGGCATTGCAGAAATTAGTCACATGATACATATAAACAAGGGACATGGCTGAGTGTAAATAGAGAACAATGTTTTCTACTTACCAAACATGTGTAGTATTCATCAATTCAATAACTTAATCCAACAATGCCAATGAGTATATATTCCTTTGATTTTAAATGATATTGTTTTCTTTTTTTCATATAAGGTCATTTGCTTGAGTTTATTGATAATCCTTGAATATGTTCCGTGTTATGTTTAAACAATATGTTGGTGCTAATAATTGACCTTTTCTCTACATTGTGTATCAAATGCATTTGACAATATATAAGTCACTAAACTGGTATTGCTTAGTTTGCATTTTAATCCCACCAAGCTTGTTATAAAGTCTCTGCTTTATAAATCATCTCCTACTGAAGTTCTACTTCGAATAATAACTTTCTGTTTACTTTTATTTGACAGTGGTTGAGAAATGATGTAGTTGATTTGAGAACTGACATATGAAAGTAAAGGGAAATAGAGACATCCCCTTATATAATTGAATTGACCATTTTAACATTATGAAGATGACTCAAATATTCTCATTGAAAATTAGTTCACAATTTCAAATTGTATGGTTTATGAGTGATATGGGTTAGAGACCAGAACATCCTGGGTTTGGTGTCTCCTAGAAGAATACCTTTCAATAACCACACTGTATTACCCAACTTTTCCTGATTTTGAACATTTATCATGGTTCTGGTTGTCCTGTGTTTGCTTTCATTTCTCTGGATGAAAGGGATTGCATTTCCAGACATTACCCTTGATTTGGGGGATTGTAGGAAACAATTAGGTTTCTCAGGATTGGTTCATACCATGATCTATAATTTATTTGGCAAATTTTTTAGAAGTTCCCTATCAACTTCTACTGAACTCCTAAACCAATTGCTAATGACACTCTTCAAGTAGATCCTGATTATTTAGACATTCAAAGTGGTCACTAGTAAAATTCAGCTCATCATTTATGGTAGAATAAGATAACAAATTATGGACTTCTTGAAATTATTTGGATAATTAAAAGAATAAAGAAAACTTTATCTCAGATGGGTATCTGTAGATAATAATAGTGGTTAAACTAACACCCATTTGTCCTTCATAAACAAGCACCCTACAAGATACAAAACCCCGCCAAATATACCATGTGCATAGCTTATTATGTTCAGTAAATACAACAGTTATCCATATAAGGAAAATAAGCCCATCAGTGATAGCCTAATCCTTAATGTTTAATTATGTAATTTTTATCAGCTATCTAATTTCCTTAATGGGCTACAGGGGGGTACTCGAGCACGGTCTTTAAGGGCTATTAATTGGGGCTATTAAAACAACATACTAGAGATTCACAGTGGGCCATTAATAAACCTATGGAATATCACTGAAAATGGTTGACCTTGAAACGCTTAGACAAAGTTAATCAGAGCAACCGCTCACCTATTCACCTACCCAGAAATCCGATCATAATATAGCACCCGTGGGTACACATTTCTAAAGTTTGTCACCTGACTCATGCATGGCGCCTATGTTCTAAAACGAATTTGTAAAATATGTAATATTATTATATAATATGTAATATGTCCAAACCCTCTATTCATGCTAAAATATTAAACATGGTATTAAAAAGATTGTTACGAAGCCGTCCACCTGTCCGTCTGTCCGTCCGTCCGTTTTTTTCAGCCATTTTAGTTGACATTGATTTGTCAAACTGTCTCGCGAAATCCACTTTTGGACCATTTGCCTTTAAACCTCTGTCGATAGGATTCCCGTTTTAAGTTAGTTTTGTTCAACATCAATACGGAAACTCCCCTATGACTCCTGGGTCAAAAGCTTGCCTACATTCAAAATGGACGACATTTTTGTCTCGTAAAATTCACCTTTGGCCCATTTCCTAGCTTTAGAAATAATTTCAGGTGTCCTGCATTGTAAAAAGCCATGTCACTGTAAAGAGTAATTGTATGAAATAATTTTGTTACAAAAAATTGGTATAAAAATAATATCCGTTTTTTTTTAATTCAGCCATTTTAATTAACATTGATTTCTCCATCTGTCTCACAAAATCCACTTTTGGACCGTTTGCCTTTAAACCTCTGTCGACAGGATTCCCGTTTTAAGTCATTTTTGTTCAACATCAAGACAGAAAACTCTTCTATGTCTCCTGGTTTAAAAGCTCACCTATCCAAATTGTTGCCATTTTTGTCTCGTTAAATTCACTTTTGGCCCATTTCCTAGCTTTACAAATAATTAAAGGTATCCTGCATTGTAAAAAGCCATGTCACTGTAAAAAGTAGTTATATGAAATAATTTTGTTACAAAACACCAGCAAAAAATAATATCAGTTTTTATTTTATTTTCAGCCATTTTAGTTAACATCGATTTGTCCATCTGTCTCGCGAAATCCACTTTTGGACCATTTGCCTCAAAACCTCTGTCGATAGGATCCCCGTTTAAAGTTATTTCTGTTCAACATCAATACAGAACTACTCCCTTGTTACTCCTGGTTCGAAAGCTTGACTATTTTCAAAATGATCGCCATTTTTGGCTCAGGTAATTCACCGTTGGCCCATTTCCTAGCTTTACAAATAATTCCAGGTGTTCGTGAAATCCACTTTTGAACCATTTGCCTTAAACTCTCTGTCGATAGGATTCCCGTTTTTAGTTATTTTTGTTCAACATCAATACAGAAAACTCTCCCATGACTCCTGGTTCAAAACCTCGCCTATTTTCAAAATGGAAGCCATTTTGGTCACGCAGAATTCACTTTTGGCCCATTTCCTAGATTTGCAAACAATTTCAGGTGTCCTGCATTGTAAAAAGCCATGTGACTGTAAAGATTAATTGTATGAAATAATTTTGTTACAAAAAATCGGCAAAAAATTATATCCGTTCCCCTTTGACTCCTGGTTCAAAAGCTCGCCTATTTTCAAAATGGTCACCATTTTTGTCTTGCGAAATTCGCTTTTGGCCCTTTCCATAGCTTTACAAATAATTTCAGGCGTCCTGTATTGTAAAAAGCCATGTCACTGTAAAGAATAGTTGTATGAAATAATTTTGTACAAAAATCGGCAAAAATATATTTTTTTATTTTTCTGCCATTATTCACTTTTGAGCAACACAATGTGAGCCCAGTACCCACGGTGCTATTTATATGTGATTGATATGGAGTATCAGTTCTATTTTCAAAAATGGATGCTGTCATACAGTGTATACTAGCTCTAATAGTGATTTTGGTAGTCTAGCTACAAGCCTCTATGACCCCCCCCCTCCCCCTTCCGCTACTTGACTAAACATCTCACGTGTACACGGTCTTTTAGCTAAACTATGATTTTTAAGGCAATTGAGAATCCCCGAAAATATAAGATTAAGTTTGATTGAGGCGGAAGTGTTGCAATAACACAGATAGCTTGTTGTTGTGTGTCCTACTAGTGATTAGTATATACTACAATCATGAAAACAATAGTTTTCGTCCTTGACTCTCGACACTGGTCAGCATTTTTTCTTAAATGCATTTAAGTGTCAGAATTCTCTCCACCAGAAACTTATCCAAGATATTAGGGGGAGTCCCTGGGAAAATGAATTTTAAGGCCAGTACTTGGCCAAATGTAAATTTTTATTCTTATGCCAGTACTTGGCCTAGTGAAAAGATTTATTCCAGCAACAAAAGTGTTGTAAAAAAAATA